TCATTCTTCTCCTCCACTTCCTCCTCCTCCTCCTCCTCCTCCTCCCCTCCCCTCCCCAGGGAGGTACGGGCGCTCCTCCTCCTCCTCCTCCTCCTCCTCCTCCTCCTCCTTCCTCCTCCTCCTCCTCTTCCTCCTCCTCCTCCTCCTCGTCCTCCTCCTCCTCCTTCACTGCCTCCCTCTCCTCCTCCTCCTCCTCCTCCTCCTCCTCCTCCTCCCCTCCTCTCCCCCTCTTCCTCCCTCCGCATCCCTCCGCCTCCTCCTCCTCCTCCTCCTCATCCTCCTCCTCCTCCTCCTCCTCCTGTTCCCCCCTCCTCCGCTTCCCTGTCTCCCTCCTGCTCCGCCTCCTCCTCCCTCCCTCCTTCCCCTGCTCCGCCTCCACCTCCCTCCATCCATTCTCCGCATCGGTAACTCCTCCCTGTCGCACCCCGAGACGTGTTGGTGGGGCGGGCGGTTTGGTTCGCCTGAAATTTCCTCACCATGGATGATCATGAAACTTGCAATCTGCAACAGCGTCACCGATGGAAGGCCTGTAGCCATTCTGGCTCAGGCGAGCACAGCTCACGGCAGGCCCTCGGTGCTCCACGCCGCGAGCGGTCATGCATTCAGGCAATGGCGCGGCCTGGGCGTCTGCGAGCGCGAGGACGCTGGCCCGCCGGCTGCGGCGCGAGCGGCGCGCAGCCTTGGGGCGCAGCCGCGCGCAGGCCATCGACATCCAGGCGCTGCGGGCGGCGTTGGGAGGACACTGGGCAGTCAGCGATGCCATGGGCGCCCATGTTCGTTCCTTCGGCGAGGCCCCGGCGGCGGCGCGCCTGCTGGCGACGCAGTTCAACCTCAAGGACTTCGGGGACATGAATGCCCAGGGGAACTGGGCGAAGCACGCCCCGCCGCCTGCTGCTGCCTCGCTCTCCTTTACTGGCGGTCCCGCCAGTCTCGTTCAAGGCGTCGGTCTTCGAGGAGTTCTGGGTCGGGCTGCACGCGCCGCTCGTCGTGGCGGAGGTGCAGGCGCCTACCGACCAGGCGGCTCCTGGTCGTCCCACCCGTGTTCTGGACGAGTCGCAGGAGCTTCGGCCTTCTCTCATCGATCCTCGTCCTGGTGACGTGGTGCCCTCGGTGCTATGGCCTGGTGTCTGGGAGCCGCTGGAGGTGCCCGCCTTGGACGATGTCGCAAAGGTTTCGCCTTCGGTCGCCATTTGTGGCGCCAGCGTCGGCGACAGCAGCTGCGGCGGCGAGGCATTGCTTGGCGCAGTCTTGTCCGTTGGTGGAGGCGCTGTCGGAGGCGATCACCAGTTTCCCATGGATGGGGTCCCTCCCCTCGCCATGGGTGGCTCTGAGGAGGGGAGCGATGTGCCTTCTGTGTTCCCGACGGGGAGCACGGTGCAGGAGTCAGCTCTGTCAGTCCATGACGTTGCCGACGAGATGGGCGATGTGGTCCTCGCCCGTGCTGAGCGGCTCGGGCTCCGCCGCATCCTCGAGTCGTTCATGCTTCGGCATGCTGTTCGTGGCGGGGATTTTCCTCTGGTGGAGGCGCTTCGCGCCCTGGAGGAGTCTGGTGGATTTGTTAATCCCGCTCTTCCCTTTCTCTTCAGCGATTGAGTTGGTGTACTTCGGTTTCGTTGCCCTCGTCCTGCACGTGCTGTTTTGTTTCGTGCACTCATGTGCAGCGTATGTTAACAAATCATTGACGGGAAGCGGGTGGTTTTAAACTGTTGATCTCCCCTTTGCGCCGCGCGCATTCGTCTTAATGGTTGGCAGCAGCTTCAAGAATGGACGGCGGGCGGTTTTCAACATGTCGCTCTCGCCTTCGCGCCGCGCACATTCGTTTTACAAGGCGTGCGACAGTTTCAAGGATTCGTATGTTTGTAATCCCCGGAATATCGTTCTGGTGCGATTTATGGACGCAACAGTTGTTCTGGGACGATTGAGGACTGTCAGGGCGCAACAGTCACGTTGATCCGCGGCATTGAAGTGCCAGGAGTTTTGGCACGGTTCAGGATTCTCAGACGGTTGTTTTTCAAAGGGGGCCCTTCCCGCAATGATGATACGTTCTTGTAGGGACCTGTGAACCGTGAACTTGGAGGGGTGGTAATTCCAATATCGTTGATGCGCCTTGAGTTTACACGGGTCCTCCTCCTCTTCCTCTTCCTCCTCATCCTCTCCCTTCTTCTCCCCCTCCTCCTCCTCCTCTTCCTCCTCCTCCTCCTCCTCCTCCTCCCGCCTCCTCCTGTCTGACCCTGCGCGCCACCAGGTTTGGACGCGTCAGCCACCGCCACTGTCGTTGCCGCCGTCACCCCTGCCGGTGACCCTGACGAGGGGGCAGCGGCAGCGGCAGTGCCGCAACTCGCCCAGCGCCCAGCAAGGCATGGTGCTGCAAGCCCGACATGTCCGCTTGATGCTCTGGGGCGGGGGCTCGTGCCCAGGGAGGGTTGCGGCGCCGCTCCACGATGGGCTGTCAGTTCAACCCGCATGGTGGCTCATTGGCATGATTCTACGCACTTGAGCTTTGGATTCGGCTCCGGCTTCGGCGCTACTGTGAAGCGACTTCGGGCCAGCTCACCCGAGTCGGCTCTGCGCTCACATGGGTGCCTCCCTCCCTCGCGCCGCCTCCTCATCCTTCCGCTCTAGAGTAAGACCTCCGAACAGGAGCATTGCTCGACCTCTTACATGACTGCGGAACCTTGGTGGAGTGGAGGTTTGATGCGCGGAACTGGGCAGAACATCGCAAGCCTAGGAGCACCAGGAGCTTGTGGGACGTCCCTCTTCCCAGCAGACTGCTCGCCTGCAGTTGCCTCGAGCCGCTTGGGTCCGAGGTGGCGCAGGCGGCCTCAGCACCCTTTTTTGAACGAGGCCTGCCAGACAAGGCACAGCAGAACAAGACACGACTACCCGCCCGCATTGCCGCAAGCCCCGCTGCCAGGTTGGCTCAAGGTCGAGAGCCGGGGCCACCGCGGGCCCCCAGGGGCCGGGCGCTCGCCGGCCCGCCAGGCCCTGGTGCGGGCGCTGCCCCGGCGCGCGTGCTGGTCGCCCTGGGCGGCGCCGCCGGCAGGGCCGGCGGCGCTGGGACGTACTGGTCGAGATCCACCGGGAGCGCTCCACTTCGCGCGAAGTGCCTACTCGCAATCGTCCGGAAGGCACGCGCTTGCCTCGACGTGATGGATCGCGAGTCCCTCGCGGCGGATCCAGGCCATGTTCCAGCAGCTGCTCTGCGAGCGAGAGCGGAGGGCGCTTGTCTAGAGATGGTCCGGTGTCGTCCCTGTGACGAGCTCTGCGGTCGCGGCCGGCATGCTGGACGGCTCCGCTGTAGCGTGAGGCGGCCCGAACCGCGGCGGCGACGTCGGCCTCCCTGCGGAGGGGCTTCCTGCTCCTCCTCCTCCTCCTCCTGCTCCTCCTCCCCCTCCTCCTCCTCATCCCCCTCCGCCTCCTCCTCCTCCTCCTCCCCTCCTCCTCCTCCTCCTCCGCCTCCTCCTCCTCCTCCTCCTCCTCCTCCTCCTCCGCCTCCTCCCCCTCCCCCTCCCCCTCCGCCTCCTCCTCGAGGAGTGCATCGCCAGTGGCCTGACCCCCGCCAGCCTGAAGCACCTCCGGAGGCAGGCCGAGAGGCTGGCCGAGGAGAGGGACGGGCCCCGCGCGGCGCGGACGCCCTGCTCCCGTCTGGACCTCGAGGAGGAGCAGGGGCAGGGAGGACGGAGAACAGGGGGATGAGGAAGTGAGGAGTGAGGAGTCGCAGGGAGGAGAAGGAGGGGGAGGAGGAGGAGGGGGAAGAGGAGGACGACGACGAGGAAGAGGGCGGAGGAGAAAGAGGAGGAGGAGGCGGAGGAGGAGGAGGACGACGTCGGTGAGGCGGATGAAGGGGAGGAGGAGGAGGAGGAGGAGGAGGAGGAGGGGGAGGAGGAGGAGGAGGAGGTGGAGGAGGGGGAGGCCGGACGATGGAGGAGGGGGCAGTGATGACTGAGGAGCAAGGGGGGGAAAGAGGAGGAGGAGGAGGTGGAGGAGGAGGAGGAGGAGGAGGAGGCGGACACGCTGGGAGGGGAAGGAGGAGCGAGGAGGAGGAGGAGGAGGAGGAGGAGGAGGAGGAAGAGGAAGAGAGAAGGAGGGGCAAGCAGGATGAGAAGGAAGGACCAGGAGACAAGAGAAGGGAGAATGCAGAGGAGGGAGGCGCGAAGAGGGAATGCCTTCTTGGGGATCGGCGCTTGCAACTGGTCTGGCCGAAACCGGCGCCGGGCCAAGCTTGCATGGGCGGTCGACGATGCGGGAGTTGGCCACGGTGCGGGAGGAAGAGGGCAGAGGGGAAGAAGGTGCAAGAAGCGAGGGCGACGCTTACTTCCCTCGTCCCCTCTTTCCCCCCTCACTTCCTTCCTGCTTCCCCCCTTCCCCCATTCAATCCCGCCCTCCCTCTCTCTCTCTCTCTCCGTTCCGCTTCTCCCTTTTGATCCGCCTCTCATCTCCTCCCGCTCCCCCTGATCCCTATCCCTCCTTCTTCTCCTCCTCCTGCTGCTGCTGCCCCTCCTCCTCAGATCCCTCAGATCCTTTTCCCTCGATGTTCGCAAGAGCAGAGCGCCTGAACGCTAGCTTTCAGAGTACGGTCAGGGGCTTCAGAGACCAACTCAACTCAATTCCTCTTCCTTCTCCCCCTCATCCCTCTCCCGTCTTCTCCCTCCTCCTCCTCCTCGTCCTCTTCCTCCTCCTCATCAGCATCTCATCATCATCCTTCTTCTCCTTCTCCTCATGCCGCTTCTCCTCCTCCATCGTCCCGCCTCGTCGCTCCGCTTCCTCCTCATGATTCCCCCGCCTCCTCCCTTCTCCTCATCCCTCCTCCTCGTCCCCCTCCTCTACTTCCTCCTGCGATCACGACTACTACTACTACTACTACTACTACTACTACTACTACTACTACTACTACTACTAATACAACTACTACTACTACTACTACTAATACTACTACTACTACTACTACTACTACTACTACTACTACTACTACTACTACTACTACTACTACTACTACTACT